ATGAAGAATTTCGAACTGCGACCAAACATGCGCTTTCGCAGTTTGCGCCAAAGTCGGAGGCCAAAGGTGCAATACAATGACCCTCTGCGTTTGGACGAAATTCGGAAACCGAGAGCGGTCTTCTTAATGAGAGACATTGCTCTGGGATAATTCAAAGGTGCCTGCCATTGAGCAATGAGTTCGTGCTCAACAGTCCAAGCTCGCTGGTAGCTGTCACAAAATTCCAGCGGAACAAGCACAAACTGGAAAAGGTTGTGTTGGGATGCCCAATATCTCAGGGACAATTCTGCATCCACAAATTCGGTTCTTTGAAGTCTTCTGTAGACTGCCATGCGGTTCAAATGCCGCTTGGCTGCACCGACAGCAGTGCTTCCCACATACAGAAGTGATGAGGGCTGACGGTAGCCCGAACGAAATCGACCCATGTCGAAATCAACTTGAAAAATGCAATATACAGTGTTCGGCTTCTCAAACAGAGAATAGTGCAGAGTATCTGGATCCACTCCGAACTGCTGCAATCTCCGAACAATCTTGAATCTGTGCGAATCATTTTGGCTGGGTGCATTGAGGTAAAACAACAACACCAACGACATCAATGTATGCACCCAAATCAGCGGAGTCTTGGGTATTCCATCGCCAAACTCCAACATGAAAGCTGCTGCTGTACCAAGCGTGCACACTGCTGAAGCAAGCCTCTTACGGACCTGAATCGGCTGATGTTGCACCGTTTTTGCTTGGGTAGCTAGTCAAGCTGATTCAAACTGACATGCACCAATGAACGAAGACAGATTGGTGAATGACATCTTGCTGGCGTGGCTTTTCTTCAAGCCGTACTTGATAGCAAGATCTGCCAGGCTTTGTCGATCAGTGGCTGAATCTTTCAGCACAGAGCAAACATCAGCCACATGTTTCTTAAAAGCTGCAGCTTGACCACGAAACTGGCTCTGATGCTTTTTGAGCCATTTTTCAACAACATCAGGGGAGCTGGAACTCGGAACAGAGTTCGGCGGATTCGGGAGTTCCGCATTCAAAATCTGCTCAGCTGACGGTGAAGGTGAAGCGGTGGGCTTTGGGCCAGTTTTGGCCTGCTTCTTCTCTGGAGTAAGAGCAATCCCAGCTTCCTTCAACTTTCGCTTCGCACGAGCAAGCTGTTCACTCTCAGGCGATTGCTGGCTTGAATCCGCCGAAGGGGGCGAGTTGGCTTTGATTGTTGAAACAATCTCGCCGAGCAATGGTTGCATAAATCTCGCAGACTCCCTGTGCTTATCAGGCGGAGCTGGGCCGTGCATATTTGCAGCCACGGCATCAAGATCGATACGGTCTTGCCGGATGTGACGAAGCAGGTTAGTCACAAACACTGCTTCTGAAATCGACCTCACGAACACTAAGCTTTGAAATTCTCCATTGGGCAAACAGCGGAGACTGAAGTCATCTGAAACACGAAGATCGGCGACATCTTTTCCAGCCAGTCCAGCTTTCGTAGACCAGGGCGTGGATTGGATGTTACGAAAGAACTTCTTGCCAGAAATAGCATTCTTGTCGTAACACTCCCAGTCACTGGTAAAAGACGATGGGATGGCAACATTGGCGCTGGGAACAGACTGTTGAGGAGATTTTTGCCAGTCACGGTTGTTCCAACCCGACGATCCTTTCTTCTCCCAAGACGAACTAGCCCAGGACGACTTGGCCCAATCTTGTTCACGGGTCCACGACATGATCGCAAGAGATTGCTAAAGGCTTGTGTCTCGGAGCTGAAATCGTGGTCTGCGGATAGAAAAGCCGTTGGTTCCATCGGATCTGCAAAAATTCAGGACCTGCAATGAAACCTGGCATCAAACCTGACATTAAGTCAGGAGCGGAGAAAACATCACGACTGAGGTAATCAGATGTCTGCACCATCGGAGCAGCAAATTCAGTCGAATCTGTGAGGACCACGACGGGCCCAAAACAATGTATCCCTGCCTTTATCAGATCCACCCTGGCAGGTACTCGCACGGGCTAACCCCGCCGCAGGTAGCGCGGTAAACGAATACAAGACCAGCTTGTAACTACCTGGGACACACTTAGACATCCATCGCGCAGCCACTAATCAATTTGGTTATCAAGCACAGCTTGATGTATCTCGAAAGCATGAAGCTTCCAGGGGGGTCCGGTACCAATCTGGCCTCAAGGCTCATCTTCGCTTGATCTCAGACTTATTCACTGTACAAGGCAAACTCCTCCAAACCTGCACATTCGATTTCCATTGGGGTTCTAGGCTTAGCCCCAAGCCATATCACTTGCAGAGACACTTGCAGACACACTTGCAGGTACACCAAGCTGATCAGGCTTGGCTTCCCTCTCTGATGCATAGCTTCGTTGGGTACGGTAGCATCAGAGAGCCGTACCCCCCTGCTATTTTCAGCAATTCAGCACTACTGTCCAACGTGTTTCAAAAACGGTTCCTCTTGGTAACAGAGGTCCACACACACACACACACACACACACGCACACACACACACACACACATGTTTTTACATACATAGAACTGCAATCTGTTTACATGCACCTTTCAATGGCCAGATTTTGAAACCTATTCTGCGATGTGGTGCTCTTGCTTTCTCATTCTTGTCATCGAGCCGCTACGATGCGTGCAGCCACACACAAAGAAGGCAAGTCGTGTCTCACTCATCATTTACATTATCGGCATTGTTGAGCAGAGAAACAACAATAGCAGGCAGAGCCCGATAATGACCGAACAAGATCAAACTTAGTAGCAACTACATGTGCAACTAAACTAGACTCTGATTACTGATGATGGCAAGCCACCCTCCGCATCATCGTCTGATTCTTCCACGAGCCCATCACTGAAGCAAAAGCATCCACGGGGTTGACGGAACAGCTATGCGGCATCCAGTAGCAGGCCGGATGCATACCGGCTTCGTATGCATCATGATTAACATCGACAGCTTTAAAGAACAGCGTGGAGCCAACCTAACTTGGGAAACGAGGCAGGATCCTTGTGAACTGGTCTAGGCCGGGGTGTCGGGCGAGGGTGGTCCAGGCAAGCCGCAGGATCTCGTAGCCGACCAGCGCCTCGTCTACGAGTCCGGCTGCCAGCAGCTCCAAGCCAGTCCAACGCCTCTCCAAAGAGGGCAGGGTGCCCGCCCAGACTCTCTCATGGCTGCCATTAAAGTGTGCATATACAGTTTATAGTGTAGTATTGTATGTACAGTATGTAGCAGTATGCATAGTATAATGTGTGAGGGCTTTCCGGCATCTGAGAATTCGGTGAGCCGAGGCCTGGAATTGAAGAGGAGCACGTCCCGATGCATGCTGCGAGGAAGCTTGGCCTGTGCCACAAAGCATGTCTCCAGTCCCGAAACAACCCCTCTCCTTTTTGCAAGGACAGCCCGAAACTTGGTTGTCCCTCAAGCCGTGCCGTCCTCCGAGAAGGCTCTAGTAGCATCCTTCGAACGGTGCTTGGCTAGGTTCGGGGGTTGAAAACCACCAACCTCGAAAACAGAAACCATGCTGCTGGTGCCATGGTACTCCTCACCCCCTATCGCATGCAGCGTCAGTCTAGAATGACAAGGCAAGGTACCGCTGAGGCAACACACAAATACACTGCGCAGACTTGTGACTCTCAAAGTCAAGTCTCAGAAAGAACCCGAGCCTTGAACCCTGGCCTCCTGGCCTCGGTCGGGCTGTTTTGGCAGCTGGGTAGCTCAGCTCGGTGGCAGAAGAGCAGAGAGCTGATGCCCCCTTGAGGCGCCTTCATGAGCTGTGTCTGAAACGGGGAGAAGACCAGGCCCAGGTCCACAGCTGGGATGAAGAAGTATCCTACTACCGGTACTTGTAGAAACGAGGAGATGCGCGAGGAGATGTGCCAATGTAGTGCGGATGCTCTTTCTTTCGAGGTCTCCTGCGTCCCGGGACATGAGCCGGAAATCGAAGGCCAGACCTGGGCAAGGCTCGGACTTCTGCGCTGCTTCGAGCTGGATTCGCTTTGGAGCGCTCCGAAGACCCCTCTTAAGCTTTGCCGAGTCAGGCGAAGAGGCCCATCATTCCACCGGTCGCGCACCAGTGGCCCCTGATGGCTGCTACCGTCGGCCGCGGAAAAAAACAGATCCTGAAACGTCGAAGGGCAACTAAACCCACATAAATAATGAATCTAGAGGCACGCATGATGAGTTATGCTATGCTGCTATGCTCTCTGCCTCTATCCCGTGCACACAACAAGAGCCATGGTGACTCCTTGCGATGAGGCGATCCGTTTCCTTCAAGAGGCTCGCCGCCTCATCTGGGTGCTTGTCCAGGTAGTTCAAGTCCATTCCATTGGACCAAAACTTGCCTTACTGTAGCTTGAGCGAAACCCAGTTCAGGGAAGGAGCTGCTGGCCGAGCTTCCCTTGTTGGTGACCACCAGCACCTGAGAATTTGGAATTGCTGCAGCTGCGAGCTCGGCTCAGGCTCCAAGACTCCAAAATGCTGGTCCAAGCACATTGACGGAGTCATCTCCCTCGACAGCATCGAGTGCGGCAGTCATGGCTCGCAGCATCACCTTATCTTTTCTGAACTTCCGTCTCCCCAACGCCAAGCCCTTCAAATGCACAGCACGGCTGACCGGCAAGAACCGAGGAGCGGGGTTGAATCGGTGCTCTTGCCGAGATGTCCCCCATGGTAAAGTTCCAGGCTGTCCCAGCAGAGTCAACACCGCCACTCCCTCTCCTAAGCGGAGAGCGCCCTCACTTCATGCGAGGCGCCTGACATCGAGCTGAACATGCTCAGGGTCGAATGTTCAGGGACACCTCATCGAACAAGCTCGTCGAAGCCATGCAGCCGCGTGGCGACTATGGCGGACTTTGTTCTGAACGGCTGCAAGAGAAAGCCCCCAGCACGCTGATGCAGATGCATTACGGCAGTTCCAAGGGCAGAGCAAGATTTGCAGTCAAGACTTTTCCAAGCTCCTAAGCAGCGCGAGGAACCTGCATGCCAGGAACAAGCCCGGCGTGGTCTCGCTCAGAGCCATCCGGGGTCCGTGTTGTTGGAGTCATCCTTAGCGAACGGGGGAGTCGCGGGAAGTTTGGGGTGAAGACCGCTCGGTGCCTGAGGCTACTACCCAGTCGTACACGTTTTGGCAAACGATGCAGTTGTATCCTCGGCGGAGCCGAGGATTCGTATCCCACTACAAACTCGTCCTTTTCTCGTCTCAGCTCAGTTGCTACGCTGGAGCCGGTGCAAGAGAATGTCCTGAGAACTCTCGAAAGCGCTCGAAAGCGAGATGCGACGCGGAGCCGAGCAGTATACATGTACGGAGTTTCGCGTGCTCTCAATTAGAGTTGCACAGGTGTGCACTCACCGATTAGACAAGAGCTTTAGCTGAAGAACAACAAGTCAGGAAGAGCCACCAACAGTTGCTGAGGCTTTGAAAAGCATGTCGGACATGGCGGTTGCCGGCCGGCGGCCGGACCCCCTGCCTGCAACTCCTGCTCAAAGCGTAGGTCCTGCGCAAGAGCGAGCCCCGGAACTGGCTCCACACATTCAGTCAGGCCCTCGCGCCTTGAACCAGTTGTGCCGGATGGCGACACCCAGCGGTGCTGTGAACAGATGCGGCTCACCCTGAGGCTCGATTGTGTTGCAAGAGCTGCACGCAACAAAAAATACGAGTAGTTGAATGTCGGAATAACTCCGTGCCATGCCAGCCCGCCCTGAGCTGCTGGCAAGAGCCGTCACCTGGGTTCTGGTTTGGACCCCGTCGGACGACGCCGGGCAGGCAGTGCTTGCAAACCGGTTCGTTCCCGCTGGCTGTTGTCTACACTTGCCTTTTTGTTTCTTGCCAACCCTTTCGCTAAGCATCTCTTTGTGTCCCAGCAGGCCGTGTGCGCCAGGAGCACTTCGAACCGCCAGTTGCAAAAGGAGCTTCCTTTGGATCCCGGAGGCGCCTTACTGTGGTTTCCGACGCCGCTGCCAGGATCTGCGGGAAGCCTCGTAACTCGAACAGTCCTGCATTTCGCTGTGCGGTCTCTGCCGCTTCATGGTTTCCACACTTGTGGTGGGCCTGTACACGTCGCCCTGAATTTGGAGGGCTCAAAGCAAAACAGGAAAACATACCGTGTAGCACTAGCGCAGCACTGGAAGGTCCCGGATGGGAGGCTTCTCGACGGGCAGAGTGGTTCGCCCAAGGAGGCTTGGCGCCTCCTGGCGAGGAATCTGAGAGATACAGCTGGGCCGTGCGCGCGCACGGCGTCGGGAGGTGCAGTACCAGCAAAGAGCAGCGAGGAGACTTAGGAAGAAGGCGCTCAGGAGCAGAGAAACTAGCCCCACAAAAAGATCAGAGTCTCCAGTCGCAGCCTCTTGAGTTTCTGGGCAAGGCAGGTAGGGGTCAAAGCCGCACCAGCGGCATTCCATGTGGCTCCCATCTGCATTGCAGCCAAGACCCCCTCCGAGGCAAGAGGGGTCCCACGTGAAGGGTGTCCTGTGCGGAGGCCGATTCGGAAAATGACAATCGCCAGCAGGCGGATAATCAGGCCCGGCCCCCCCAGCCCACACAGACACAGGCTCTGTCGAAGTGTCCGATCCGACCACATCCTCACTTCTCTCGCCTCTTGACCAAGGAAGCATGGAGTGGTACCAGTTTGTAGCATCCGCCGCGCCGGGACACTCTTCGACCGGTATGCCTGAACCGCACCAGAGGCCGTAGGTACCAAAGGACTCTCCACAGAAGAAGCGTGGCTTCGTGGATCTCAAGTATGCTGCACAGGCAGAAAGCCCGAGCACACGTCGCGACGTCCGCTGCGCTCTGTCAGGGGCAAGGATAGTCGGCGTAGCTCTATCCAAGCCAAAGGAATCCGGAGAATAGACATAAGAGCCCTCGATGTAGGGAGACTCCCAGGCAATACAATCAAAGCTGACAAGCTGTGAAGCTGACATCTTCATGATGCCAGTGCCAAGGGCCTCAATGGCCTGGACGGCCCACGCGAACCTGCCCTGTGTCGTCTGTCGCAGTTCCCGACTGCCCTCCAAATAGATCGGATTCCCGTTGCCCCCGAAGGCACACTTGGGCTTGGCCACGCGGAAGCTTGGTGAGGTGATGGCAGCTAGGAGCCAGCGGCTGTTCTTGACATGGATGCCAGCATCGTAGAGCTGGAAGAAGGTCTCTGAGACGTCACCGCTGATGAAGAGCGAGCTTTCAAAGACCAGTGTGAAGCCCGGGGGTGATGCTTCGGTAACCTTGAAGCATGCCGTGGTGAGCTCAGGCATACTGGCAGCAACATGGCGGCAGTTCCAAAAGACAGCGCCTGTGAAGTGGATGTAGCCACCGGAGGTCCACACTGCTCGAGACTCTGACTCTGCAGGGCCTCCGGTGATGTGAGCAGCAAGGAAGTCTTCGAAGTGGTTCGCCTGGAATCGGTAGCTCCGCTGCGCCAGGGGCAAGCTGGGATCAAAGCGCATGGGGACCCAGGAGCTGGATCCTTCCAAGGGACCTGGAACTCTACACTTCACTATACCAGCTAGAAGAGAGCTCCATGGTAACTTCTAGCGTGACTCTTAGTCTTGCGATGCTGGTTTGTTAGTCCGGCCTGAGCAGCTGGAGCAGGCATCGCCCCAACAGGGGGCGTGTTCGTCAGCAGAGTTCAGCACTCGACCATCCACATGCACTCCCCGAGATGCGGTGCCCACCGCATTGCGACGGAAAACTGGCACTCGTGTCCGGGACGGTTCTTGTCTTAACCACCAACTCCCAAAGCCGTGGCCACTCCTGACGCTTTCCGCTCTCTATCCCTTCCCAGCTAAGCCGCTACAAGCCTGGCCCTGGGCCCTGTCCTGGAATCGTTGAAGTACCGGGCGCTCAGCCCCATGGGTGTCACAGGTTTTCGGCGGCGACAGAGCTCCACAGCCGGCAGTGCTGCGAGGCCACATCCATTCGTCGGGAAGGTAAACCAGTAGCCCGTGCCAACTCCGACTACATGGTTCTCGGAAAAGCTGTTGTTGGGATTAGTGATCCAGAAGCCTGACGGCCCCAACTGCAAGTTGCTGCGCGGCCCCTTCCCAAAGACCCAGTCACTGCAAACCGAGCCGCCTTGGTGAACAGAAATTATCAAGTTCCTCTTGAAGGAGTTGCCAGTCTCGATGCCATCTTCAAGATAGACGGCGTGACCAAAGGTCTGGAAGCAAACGTTGTTTTGCACCTCTACACCTTCACTCCCATGTACAGTCACGCAGCGTTGGAAGTTGTGGTGAAGAGAACTGTTGCGGATGAAGTGGCCGTATGCATTGCCGGCGAGGTGCCAATGCACCGGATACCTTGCCATCTCCAGCGCCTGCCCCAGCAAGGAGAACTCTGAATGCTCGATGTGGATCGTGGAGTTCTGAACGAAAAGCAGGTGGCCCCCGAAGCAGGCGCGACGCACATCCCTCAGACTCAGCGCCGTTGCATCCAAGGCGACCGAGCCGTAGGCCTTCCGACAGCCGGCCCAGCGCTCGGGAACCGTCTCCGAATCACCGGAGATCCGAAGATTCCGTGTCAGTAGCCCCACGGCAGCATTGAGACGCCTTTCTCCGAAGGCTCCCTCGTGCCTGGCTCGAAGTTTTTCCTGGAGAACCACGACTTTCCCAGCTTCCTTCACTGCCAAAATCCTGGCCATCTCGGAGTCCTCCAAGTCTTCGGAGCTGGCGCCGACCACCAGCGAGTCGCCTGGCCTCCAGTTCCTTAATAGCTGGCAGCATAGCCCACTTAGACGACACCCTCCGCAGTGCTACTGTATTTAATGCTGCATGCCACAGCACTATAGCACTTCACGCAGAAACCCTGCAAAAAACGGCATGCAAAAGACTTTCCTTATCCTTCGTTGCTACAAGCCGCACGGCTTCGGACAGCACGAGCTCTGTGTCCCCTCGAAGGGCCGTCTGCTTCAAATACTGCCACGAAGCACGGGGGCAACCATGCAGCTCCAAGCGCCCGGTACTCGTCACCAGGAGAGCCTCAAGAAGCCAACAACTCCCCCCCCCCCCCAAAAAAAAAAAAAGAACACACACACACACAGAAGTGAGCCTTTCATTGTTTCCTGGGTATCTTCCTCCATGAAAAAGCAGGGCCCCTCCCAGGCCTTTGGAAAGGCTGTGCTCGGCCCATCGCCATCGGCCACGTCTGGCAATCCGGCTTGACGCCAGCTGAAGTGAACTGCAGCATCCCTCTCCTGGCCGTTTAAGCAACATGCCAAGGAAAACCCTAAAGGAACCCTTGTGAACTACTAAGCTTAAGTTTAAGCAACATGCCGAAAATAACCTGCAAGGAATCCTTCGGAACATGTACATACCTATATATATATATATATATATATATATATGTATATGTGTATATATATATATATATATATATCACAGTTTTGAGACCCTGGGCTTGGCCCTTGGCAGCGGCGCCGCTCTCGGCTCCTCCCCGGAGCCAAGCAGACGCAGCTGGAAGTTGCCCTGGTGGGGCTTCTCCTGGGTTCTTGTCAAAGGATTTTGGTTAAGTTGCCACAATAAGGAATCCACAGTTATGTACTATAGATCCCAATTATGGTTAATAAAGAAACCGTATTATGTACTATAGATCCCTATTGTGGTAACTTAAACTAAGTTCCTTAACAAGAACCCAGCTTCCGGGCTGCAACCCACCCAAAGCTCCCCATCCAAGCGAAGGGCGCCGGTCAGCAACTCGGCGGGGTTTGGAGAGTATTCGGAGGTGTCCGGAAGTCGAAGACAGCCCCGGCCCCCTACTCTTTGCTGTGATCTTGACGTCTTGTACATATACATATGTGTATATGTCCGTGCGTAAGGGAATCACACCAACCCGATGTAGTATGACGAATGGGCCCCCAACTCAGCATATTGACACCGAGGGGTCTTCCCCAGAAACCAGTAAGCATTAATCCCCGAGGCCTCGATGTGGGCCTTCGGATGCACGACGAGCCTTGCGCTCCGCTGGATTCTCAAAGTCCGGCTGCGCAAGCTGAAGGACTGCTCGCCACGGCCCTCACCGCCCAAAAGGCCTCGACGGATGTAAGCCGAAGAAACTTCTCGCTGAAACCATATGCTCTGAGCTGCTCCTAAACCCCATCCGAGAGCTTGAGAGCCATCAAATCTCAGCTCTGTGGGAGGGAGGAATTGGTTAAGCATGTTCGGGCCTGGGAAACACGACCTATGCCGGGGCTCGTGGAGACAAAGCCAAAGGCTAAGGGAGCTGACAGTATCATGACGAAAGCTGGTCTCAACACGGGCTGAAGCGAAAGAGCAAGAACACGAAGAAGGGAAGAAGCAGAAGCTGCCAAGAGTCAATCGGTAGAAAGCTGAAGATCCACTGTGGGGCCGCCCTGCAGGCTGCAAGGCGGCAGAGCCTCTTCGTACGGGCACTCCATCCTTCAGCATCGCCGAGAGCCACAAGGCCCCCGAAAGAGAGGCGGATGTGACCGGGCAGGGCCGCTTTTGAGAGACACACAGCGGCGCTTGAAGAAGTGCGGAGCAGGAGCCACAGTGCCACACTCTGAGTTTAGCACCGCAGCATACTTTGGCTGCATCTTCTGGTCCCAGCACATGTTGAGGCCTCTGACTCTTTGTCAAGGCTTGGAGCGAAATGTCCTTTCTTCTGTGCAGAGCAACACCTCCCCCGCGCCTTGAGGGTTATCGGTTTTTAGGTGGGCCATGTCCTGCAGACTTCCGGACCCCTGCACATTTGACAGTCGCATCTGCGGTGTCCTTGTAAGTTTCTGGCACGTCGTACCTCACGAGTGCGCATGCATGAAGCGCTGATTGAAGCCCAAATCGAGTCGAGACTCGAGACTGAGAGCTCAAATATCCATGCGGGCTCCGCGCCACTCCTGCAAAAGTCCGAGTCCTTCCGGGGTGTTCCGAACCTCGGCAAGCTGTCATGACGCTGATGTCGGCTTGTTGGATTTCACAAGACTTTTTTGATGCCCACACTCCGCAATACCAGGGCGAGAAAGACTGTACGGATCAAGGGTGTAGACGTATAACTAGTTTGATATGATACTTGTACCAAAGACCATGTCAAAAAACATTACCATGGCAGCCATCAGAGATACTTGCAGGAACGGCACAGCTGCAGTAGCTCTGATGTCGGCAATACTGACGAATGACGAGGTCGGATTTGTGAGAGCATGTAACGACAAGATACCAGAAGTGAACCTTATCATGCCAAGAAACGAGATCAAAGCTCTGCTACAACTAGCAATGAACCTGCGGCGCGACCATGGTTATGCCGGGCGTAGATGCCCAAAAAGTGACAGAGCACTACGGTCACCACGACGGCCACGACCAGAAAGACCAAATCGCCCACCACATGAGACCATCAGGAGACCACCAGGAGGGAGACGGAGCAGACCAGGAGAGCAACACACAAAAACCACAGAACCAATGCTTTCGCCCCATCGACTGCCGGGCTGCGCAGGCGCGACCACAAGGCTTCCCCCCATCTATTGACGGCTTCAGGCATGTCGAAACCAAAAAGCAGATCCTGAATGCTATCCGATGCTCTTGACTCCTTAGGGTTTGGACCCCATAATGTGTACCACGCTGTTTCGGGAATTAGCAGTATCTGTCGTATCGGGTCATAAGTGTTATCTACTCCGAAGTCTCTGGAATGCCAGGGCATTGGCAATGAAGAAGCCTCCGTTGATGAAGGCATGTTGGCTGAGGTCATCAGTCCCCTTGTCGGCAGTTTCCACATGGTACTCCTCTGCAAACACTTGGCGTGGACACAAAAGAGGGAACTACTCGCCCGTGCTTCCCAGCCACTGACTACTCACAATCAAGCTGAAAACTTGAAACCTAAAGACTTGACCGAATAGAGGCAGCAGCCCCAAGGCAGCAAAAGGCAGCAAAAGGCACCTGCGAGAACATGATGAGCCTCAGAATGGTACTAGCTCCCGGGTCCACGTTCAACAAGCCACAGCTAGATTCAGTTCTGTCTCAAAAAATGTGGGAGCTGAGGTTCTGACATGTGCTAGTTGATAGCTGTTCTATAGGCGTCTCGTGTCGTAGCAAAACCAATTCGCGGAGGGCTGCTCAGCTTTGCGCCACAAGCTGCTCCCCTCACTCTGTCGTTCGGATGGTCGCAAGCCGCAAGCACAAAACTGTCGAAGGGAGCTTTCTGCAAGGAAGGACAGATTTCGACCAAACACCTCTTTAACCCTACGCCTCTTGGGTTGCGACTTGTTCTCAGTCAAGCCGTAGTCGGTGATGATAGCAGCGAGCGGCTCGGAGGTGCGAATGAAGGCGTCCTTTCGAAGAATGACAATGTGCTAGCGGGTGTCAGTATTTACCTCCGGCAATAGTTGGCTAGCTAGCTCCTTGACCGTGGGCTTGTGAAGTCTTCACAGCTGTGTTTGCCGAGTATTTTACTGTGAAGCCTGGCTCCTATGGCGTTCCCACCATGACATCAAAGCAGTTTCTGCTACGGGGGCCACAACTGCAAGTCCGACGGGAAAGGGGCACTGCCTTCATATTAAGACACTGAAGTACGAAAGCGTGGCTGGGCCAAGACCCTAAGCCCTGCGACGAATCTGGGCCGCCGGGCCGTGTCGATCGAAACGCCGTAGGCACACCGCTCCGGACCACGCTTTTGAAGCTCTTCTATGAGTATCTTCACCTTCGCCCAGCCTGGGCCGAGAAGCGAAGCCTCTGCCGGCCACGGCGATGCGCGCGCCGATGCTTGGCCGCCCGACCTACCTTCCTGTTTGGGTAATGCGCAGCCTCGTCGGGTCTGACCTCACATGGCACTGACCACACACTTTCGCTGTGTCGCGTTACTCTCAGAAGCCCTGAGCAAGCCGCATAGTCAATGTCATAGCCGTGGTCTTGCGCCTTAGCTTTTGGGGATCCCACTTGAAACTTTGCTTAGGCTCAGAACTTCTCCGCAAGCTGCATAGGCTTTGTTGACCCCGAAAGAAAGTGTCCAGTACCTCACAGATGGTGTCTGTCAGAGTCACAGCGGCTCCTGCGCACTTCAACGAACATGCCTTGCGTTCAGCACAGACGTGATGTTCCTCAAGGATGACCTGAACACGGCAAACCGACCCACTTTCCGAGTGACTGAAAAAATCACGAGAGATCGAGCCTGCGCCGAGTATCCACCATGAAAATGCATACGGTCGTGTTCCTGCACTGCTAGCTGCTAGCTTTGAAGCTCGACATCAGCTGTATCAGAGGCGGTCCGGTCCTGTAATTCGAGGTGAAAACCCATTCGCATTTGCAGATTAGATAGTTCGGCCTCGGCAGAGATTCGACTGTTCGACTCTGTGCCAGAAGGCGCAAGACGCTCCGTGACTTAAGGCAGACACGTGCCACCCTCGGGACACCAAAGCAAACCGCAGCTCTTCTTCTTGGAGAGCCCGGTCTTCTCGTCCTTTGGGCCGGTCCGGCACAAGTAGTAACCGCTAGCAGGTCCCATTAGCCTCAGCACAGAGTCTCCGAGACCCGGGCCAAGGCAAAGGCAGAGTGAGCCAGGGGTCCGAAGAGGCTCCTTAGTTTCAACTGGCACTAGCACTTAAAATGATCTCGCTTTGTGGCCTACGCTACTCTGGGGAACCCTTGCCAGGACGACAGCAGCACGTTGGCAAAGGTGAAGTTATTCTTCTCCCTGTAGTGCCTATCATCGCATGGTGGTGTAAACCTCTATAAATCTGTAGACACTCGCTTCCGGAGCCTCAAGGCCTGCTGGGACACGTCGAGTAAGGCTTTCCGAAACCTTGGGCTTTGCCAAAGAAGAGTGAAACTCAGCGAAGCACCGGGTCCAAAGCTGGTCCTGCTCCTGGCGCAAGACTTTCAACTTCAATGCCGGCTGGTACAAAGCTGCGTCCTCCGCAGCTGACAGCAGGCCGGCAATGTACGCCCAGGCCAGCGGGCATCGTTTCAGCATGTCCTGATATATGAAATGTCGGACAACGCGCAACGCGTTGATCAAAATTGTCGGATTCCACTCAGGGCCGCCGCATCGTCTGCAGTCGCCATGGACTCCAGCAGACTTTGCCTTTGAAGGGCACCGCTTCGGGCAGCTCAAGAGAACAGCAGCCACGACATAATCTACACAAGCATGGCGTGTGTGTGTGTGTGTATATATATATATACATATACATATATATACATATATATCTCGCATTTCTCGCATTTGGGGCGTTGTGTCCGATTCGGGCGCGGCCCTTTGGCATGCATCTAATTAGGGAATCCTCGCGCAGAAATCTGGACACGTACTAGTATGCGCTAAGGCTACATATACAAGGCTCGCGGACAGGGAGATGAAACCAGCGCACGCCTGTAACGTGAAAAGCTGTCTCCGTCTCACGAGCGCCATACACGAAACTGGAAAAGTGTGGCGCAGCACGGGCGAAACGTACCCTCAATTCAGCCACAGCTAAACGCCACATGAAAGCTTTACATCGTGCTGCATTCACCGTCTTGCTCCCTGAGCTATCACGACAACATCTAGCCCACAATCATCTTAGCCGTTGCCGCCTGGATCCCAAGGCACAAAACTCATTTCCGTGGTATCCAGTCCCTTCGAGTCGGTCAAAACATGTTTGACACATGACAGCTTGCTCACATGGAGTGGGCGATGAGGATCTCGGGAGCCCAAGCTCCATGTGGTTGTCTTGCAAGTCCACGCCGTACCGCACAAGTCGGCGTCACCCGTGCGCCAGAAATGCTTTCCTTCATGCCCACCCGGTGCCACTGTCACAGCCGCATCTGCCTCCACATTTAGCGTAAAGGCGTGCCTGCTCTCGGTCTCCACGACAACTGACAAGCCTCCACGCATGCACCATGCAGAGTTGTTGGGCGACGTCTGCCCGAACATGTGCGTAGCATTCAGCACCAAGGGTTCCCATGAACCACACCACCGCGCCGTGCTGCAGAATTCGTCGTGCAGCTTTGTGAACAGTAATCTACCGCGACTCTGCAATGGCATTGACCTGTCTTCCGGGGCACCCAAAGTGGGCGACTGCTGTTCGCCCAGTGGTTCCCAACCACCACTCCAGACGGTAGCCAAACCAGGTTCGTCGTGTAACAAGGTATAAAGCAGCTTCCAACGTCGATCCCTGCTGCAGTCATCTTTGTTGTTTGGGTGGCGTGCATGCCCATTCGGGCCATCATGCACGTAACTCGAGACACCTTCATTCGTCGAAAGGAATGTTTTCCCATCTGGGCCATCATGCCTTTCACTCATATCGTTGTGCACCAGGCTATCACCAGCATCCTGCACAGCATGTGGCCTTTCACCACGTCTTCCAGTGGTGAGTCCCACTATGTTTACTGCAACCTCATATGCCCTCATGAACCTGTCAGCTTGCCACCAGCTAGAGGAGTAGTCATAGCAACGAGGAGACCCATCATCTGCTGACCTTGAACCACCAGTGCAGCTACAGAAGTCTGTGTAGCTGGGGAAAATCAGGGTTCCACATCCGGCATCTGTGTAGCTAGGCCACGATGTGTGACCGCAGCTTTGGCAGACGTGCTTCCTCTTCCCACGAGCCATGGGCGATGTTCCGAAGCACTGGGGTCTCCGGCGATGTGCTCGATTCTGTGGGCACTTGATCCGAGACCCTTATACATATATATATATATATATATGGGGGGGGGGTTGCTCCTTATTGTTGGTCCAGCCCTTGACTCGAAAATGCCCTTGTGCTTCGACCTTGCGCGCTCTTGCGCCCAACACGTTTTGAACACATCATTTCCAACTTGAAGCCATTATAAGGCACAAGTTGTCGGCTCGACCCGTGCCATGACTATGCTACTCGTCAAGTCCCCGTACTTGCTTGCAGCAGCTGCGCGATTGTAGGTGAACTCACAACCGCAAGCTTGTACGGCAACGGACTCTACACCAAAATAGACTAGCTTAACCTAGGCAGCTTATATATATATATATATATACATACATACACACACTGCTTATCCCTTGCGCTCGCCCTTGCCCGCACTTGCGCCGCGTGTGTTCCGGAGCAGGTCCTCAACCTGCATCAGAATAGTAAAGTGTGCTGTGAGTCTACGGTCAGGAGCCGCGGGTTTAGAACAACTCATATGTATACATATATATATATATATATATATACATATATATATATATAGGGTCTCGGATCGAAGTCTCGGCACAGCTCGGGACTATAGCCGGCGCACCCCAGTGCCATTTCGTAGGCACGCGCGAGCAGCCATTCCAGCTGCGAAATCCCCACCGTGGCATCGAAGGCTGCGCCAAAGGAGGGCCAAAGCGAGGAAGTCCATCTGGAAGGCACGAGCTGCCGGCCGTTCGGGGCCGAGCCGTGCCATTGCTCTTCTGGAGTCGCATCACTCTGCGCCCTGTTATCGAGAGTTCATGGGCCGTTCGAACAAGGCCAAATGGCAGCAGTCAGGCTCGGAAGGTTATGGTGGCTGGTCGGAGGAGGCCTGGGATTCCTGGCGGCCCAAAGGAGCTGGCAAGAGTGCGGCTTCGCATGCGAGATGGGAGGACGATCGCGAGTGGGCACAACAGGGCTATCCCACGTACACTCGGCCGCATGGGCCACCACTCCGCCAGATGCCAGCGGACGACAAGGCCAAAGAACCCTCTGCTGCAGCTGGACTAGTCAAAGCAGTCCAGAGACTCGTTACTGTTGCGAGGAAGGCAGAAGTGAAGACCAGAAAGGCAGCCGAGGATTGCGAGAAGATCGAGTCCGAATGGACCAGATTTCAGGACGACCTCAAGAAGAAGTTCATCAAAGGGCGAGAACAGCATCGTCAAGACTCGGCCAAGGCCTCCCAAGCCCTCGAGGAGTGCCAGGCAGCCCAGGCTACAGCATTTGCGGAGCTGCAGGAGGCGATGGCCAATCCGGAGAGAATCATCCAACCGAAGGAACCTGCAGTCCCTCCGGAAGTCGACCTGGAATGGGACGCCCTAATGCAAGGAGCGGAAGACAGCGACGAGGAGATGACCTCCGCGGCTGTCGAGCAGGTCCGCAGTCGCCTCAGGGCAGTCATTGCAACCACGCCGCCTCGGAAGCCGGCTGTAGCCCCGCTCACTCCGCTGAAGACGAGCACCGCTCCGAGAAAGGCGTCTACCACACCATTGCTGGAAGCAATGGTGGCTGGAAAGGAGGCACCGGGCTTTGGAACCAGCCAGGGTACGATGACGATGCAGGACCCCTACTTGGTCTCGCCTTCTACGAGGACCTCGGCTCCTACCCCATCCTTGTCTCCGGCGCGAAGGCGATCTCGCTCGACGTCCCGACGGACACCGATCAAGGAGAAAGGTCGGGACCTTCCCCGGCCCACACTTGGTGGTTCCTTGTCCCAGAAGCTCGAGGAGGCCCGGAACGCACCGGCTGTTCACAACCTGGACGAGGACGACGACGACGACATGCCGGTTGGAGACTTGGGCAGAGCCAAGGAGAGCAATGGCCCCCAGGATGGATAGCAGAAGGGGTGGTGCCCACAGCCCATGCCCTGCGGAGATATGAACGGCAGAGAGTGTCTTATGACTCTGCCGATGGAGTTGGAGAGCTTTTTTGGTATGTCTCTCAACCTCCTCAATCAATTCGATTTTGTGGTCATCGGGCCAGTGATGACCTTGGTGGTGATCGGCCTCCTGGCTGGTGTGCGAGCTATATTGGTGAGCCATTTGATCGGTTCGATCAGTGGTGGGCACTTTGTGGCGACCGGTTGGAACAAGTATGGGATGTCATCGATGTCCAGGAGGCAATGGTGGAACGGCTTAGATGTTGGCTTGTATTTGCCTGCGTCGTCCTGGCGCCACTGCTATCTTCCCTGGCTACCTCTTCATCCCTGGCTCTGTGCTCGAGCCTAGTAATCTTCATGGCCGCCTCTGGTAAGTGGCAACGACCATTCGGCCCTACCAGACATGGATGTTGCAGAATGCCTCTTTTCTTGAGACCCCTTCTGGCCTTTGGTCTCCTTCGTGGTGGAGCAGCGGGACCTATGAGAGGTGGACTCAAGGGACGGATCGAGCCACGCTTTCTGGCCCACGATCGGAGTTGGCATGAACAATTGCTTCAGGCTGAGAGCCAAATGATATGGACAACGCCGCTCTTCAGTGTTGGGCAACACCCTGATCGAGTTCATCGGGCTGGCCCTCCTGTGTTTCCTGCGGTAGCGCCTGACCCTATCGATGAGGATGATCCTGAGGAAGAGTGGCCCCCGGGAGATGCTGTTGCTAACCGAGCCAGGCACATATCCATTTGGATCCTCACTCCCATGTCAGAGCCAGAAGTTGTCCAAATTGCCGTCCCCTTCCCAACCACTGTGGAGGCCCTACAGGATGTTGTTCGGGATGTACGCAACGACTCAGCACAGAATTGGTTGGGATATGCTGTCCCGCTTCTCCCTCAAATTCACGATGACTATGCCAGGACGGACCCCCCAGCGATGACTGGGCGAGGCTTATTGGCTTTTCAATCTCCGGAGGAGCAGTATCTTCATCATGCTCGGAGAGATCGCGACAATAGCCCGGCCCAGGTTGCTGCATGGGCCTTTGAGCTCGAAGAAGGCAATTTCAGATTGCGAGCTCCAACTGCTCGTCCTACCCGCCTGTGCTGGCGAGGAGGTAGTGTGCACTCGATTGTGGCTGTAGTCCCCCGACATGGAACTATAGCTGACGAGGCCCGCATTATTTTTCTTGATCTGCGTGGAATTGGTCATTGGCCACAGTGGACAAGTGTGGACGGCCCTCTCTTCCATCCCGGGCGATATATCGAGGACCTGCAGATCGAGCTTGTTGAGGGCTTCTCTGTCGTTGTTCAGGGCGGCAGAGTTCGAGGCTCAGATGGTTATGTAGAGGTCCGTGATGGAGAAGTGCTCGAGATTGTGCTTCGAAATACCGCCAGCATTACCCCCTCGCCGGAGGATGGAAGCACCTCAGGCCATGATGATGACAGCGATCAGGAGGGACGTGATAGCAGCTCTACCTTCGATGCTCTGCCGAATTCCTCTGATCTTTCTGATGATGGTGCCCTGGTCGGACCGGG